TTAAGACTATTTTCATCCATTTATTTTGTGATTTTTGTACCTTTGCCATCCACACACTAGATAAATCAGTCATCTAAGAACTTCATGCATACTCAAAATGTCATTGTACTAGGCCTGTAACAAGTACTATAAATGTAATCCTAGAAATGCAATCCTAGCATTATCTTTGCCTAAACTTTCCATGCCATAATTACTCCACTTAAATTATTATCCTGAACACAACCGAGATAATTGATTTCGTAATTTAAATTCAGACCCAAAAAGAATATATTTTGTTTTGCCAAGATCTATTAAAAGCTTATTTTCAGACCTAACTTCTCCTGAATTTTACTAGTCTCCTTATCTGAAACTAATAGAGCAGAATCATTAGCATATAATAACATTTTACACTCACATACAGCCTGAATATCATTTGTATATAATAAAAACAAAAGAGGGCCTTGTACACTACCCTGTGGAACTCCATCATTCACAATTTTACTTTCTGTACTCTCCCTGTTAAATAAGAGGCTACCCATCTATTTACTGTACTTGAAAATCCCATAGCACATAATTCATCCAATAATATTGAGTGGTTAATCGTAAATAATCAGAAATCTAATATTTAAATCAACAGAAAAGGTTAAATAAATATTCATTTTCAACAACAGATTTATTATGCTACTTAAAGTACTAATTCAGTGTGTAGTGTAATCTAGGGAAGGTTCATACTATTGAGCCCACACTGTAAAGCTTTAAAGACATTTAACCTTTCACAATCACCTCATTCTCAATCCAAACAATTTCCTTTCTGAAAGCTTTTGCAAAAAGGATGCAAACAAAGGCCTTCAGATTAAAAATTTGCTGTTCTCTTTTGTGTCAATACTTCTCTTTGTTAGCATCAAATTAACTGTCTCAGTTTAATACTGGTTGGGCCAAACCAAATTCCTGACAGGTTTCAGTGGCCTGAAGTCCACTTCATGCTGTGAGGGTAATGAAAAATCATCCGAAACGCTGAATGTAAACTCAAATCCCTTTCGACTGATTTTTATTATTTTTTTACAAAATTGTACTTCTGTGCTTTGAACGATTACATTTGGTGCATTATAAATATTTCTTGGTGAGCACTCAAAATCTATTTAATATTACAGGTTAATGAGTTTGTCAGCACAGCAGGTGAAAATCACATATGCTTCGTCACTGGCTCAGTAACGTTGCCTCTAAGCAGGTGGAAAATGTGCTGAATTAATTAGCAAAGTTAAAATGTCATCATAAATGTTCCACTCAAGAAATAAAGAAAATAATAGCATATATAATAAAAAATATATAACAAAATTAGTTTATGATTATTTTTCTTGTGAAAGCATTAAAATTTTTTGTTTCAATTTGCAAAGTGCTGTTTGAACATGGGGACATGTAAAATATTAAATTAGCCCAGCATTTAATTGGCTGTCTATTCAGTTGCCAGCTGTCCACTGCTGTAACAAAGATTTGCCCTCTGCTTTTTGTGAGACATAGTTGAAACTTCTACAGACCATCAAAACTTGGTTAGGTAACTCAAGCTTATAAAGTACATTTAGTGCTGTAAATTAGGTTAGTTCTACACGCTCTGCCTGAGGATGCAGATTTCTGAGTTGGGATAGGGGGAGGTGCCGAATCACCAGGATCCCATTCACTTGTCCTAGATCTCATGCTGTCAACAAAGCCACACAAACAACACAGCACAAAAACACACAGCGAAATAACACAAAACAGTGTAAGGCTAACAAAACATAACAAAACGTAACAAAACATAAAACAAAATGTTAACCAAAACTAAACATAAAACAAATATAACAACTTTAACCAAAACAAAACAACTTTAATCAAAAGAAAACATTAAGCAAAACATCACAAATTAACCAAAGCAAAGCTAAATAAATAACACAGTGCAATATTAAACAAAACAAAATAACATCAACAACAAAAAGAAAAAGAAACTCTTGATTATAAAGTTTAGAAACACTGTGTGTAGCCTATTATATATTACCAGCTTTGCATGGGTCCTTGTAGTCAACTGCATCACTTTCTCCTGGACCTGTGTGATAGTTTGAATCCACTTTCAATGCGATCGGTAACAAAAGCCGAAGATTGAACAAAAGCAAATATGTCCACAGGGAATTCATGACGGGAATGAGTGCGGATGTAGATGTGGACCTGGAGCCGGCGGAGAGCTGCGGGTTGCGGTGGGAGTTTGGAAGGACTTGGGAAAATGGGAGCTCCCGGGAAGGCGGGTTTAGAGAAGCGAGGCTTTGCTCTCTTCAGTGTCTTTATTCTAGTCCAGTGATTCGCTCACATACCCGGGACTCGGGCCAGCAACAAGCTTCCAAACATCACAGATCGGAGGTCAGTGGACTCAAAGCGTCCTGAGCCCATCTGTGTGGGAGAAGAATGCAAACGCGCACACTCGTGCGTTTCACTCCAGAGCAGCAGCAGAAAAACGCTCTTGTGTCTAAAATAAAAATCCGGCGCAATTTGAACAAATTATATTAATTTTATTGCACATATAGTAGCAATATCTTATTTTTCTTTGGAATACCAATCATAAAGTATCCCTGCTAGCTGACAGATATAAAATGTGTCCTCCTGAGGAATAACCTGTCTCTATTACGACAGCCCTATAGGGGGGGGGGGAATCAGGGAGCGAGCAATAATGGGCTTTTTATATGAAATACAGTCGATTCAGGCACTGTTTTGGAAAGTCATTACTATTTATTATAGATTTCTCAAAATTTCCTGACAGATGTTATGACTTGTTAAAGAAAATTAATTTCTGGTCGTTAAGATCCTTGGTGACCTATTAGGCTAAGTGAGGGTGCGTTCCATTCCAAATTCTATGGAAGCTTCAGTCTCAGAGGGTGGCAGGCTCAAAAATAAGTTATTTAGAGTGCACTACAACATCTTTCCAAGCCTAATTATAAATCTTTATATATTAATTTGCTGTGCTAAATCCACTTTTAGAATGCAAACCAAAGAAAAGTCACTTTGTATTTTTTTTCCTTTCAGAATCTTTATTAAAATAACAGCACACATTGACTTACAGTATAACAACAGCAATACCCAGGTACAAAAACAATTTATGGGTTTAAAATGTTTTTAAAAGTTCATAACAATAATAACAATTTTTGTAAAAATTCACAGATCAAGGCTTGTCACAACATTTTGTTTGCAGCATGTTTGCATTAAATTACATTACACTTGGCAAACCTGGCACAGACGTACACTCTCAAAACAAAAAAAAAAGGTACAAAAGCTGTCACTGGGACGGTGTCCATTCACAACGTATTAATATGTACCTTTAAGGTACTAATATGCATCCTTTAGGGATAAATAAGATGCAAAGACGTACCTTTGAAAGGGTTATGACCCAGTGACAGCTTTTGTGCTTTTTGTTTCTGAGAGATTTCTGATTCTAACACAAAGAATCTTCAGACCTGTGTCAATCAGTTCATTTTGAAAGGCCCTGTGAAGAGGTTATTTTTAAGCACTTCTGTCTGGAACAACCCTACAAGATGACATGACATCCCGTCTAAATGACATGTCCAAGAGTGAAAATGGATCCTAACATGGTACAAGCTATTACAATTAACAGAGCATGTGTGAATTTATTCAAAAACAGAAGCAATGAAGATGATATTTTTGTAATTGATACATTACAATAAAAAACTCACAGGTCCCATTTCACACATTAAATCACTTTATTTTCCAGTTAGGTAACTTTTTTCTTGAGCTATAATTCCTAGAACCTGTATAAAGGTGTGCATTATTCATGAAAACACATCAGCAAAATAACATCTGGTGCTTTCAGAGGTAATAACTACGGTAGCCGAGAGAGCTCAATGCACTGCAACTTAAGAAAACATATGCAAACAGAAAAAGCACCAGCAAATTAAGAGAACATCATCAGTTTGACAACACACGTGCTGCAAATACTCACAACACAACCAAATACAGAAACGTGCTGCAAATATGCACAACTCGACCAAATACAAAAAAACTCAACTCTAAACTCCAGCCCTCCAGGAATTGAGTTTGACACCCCTGCTGTATTTGGTTGTGTTGCGAGTATTTGCAGCACATGTGTTGTCAGACTGATGAAGATGTTTTCTTAATTTGTTGGTGTTTTTTTTCTATTTGCATGTGTTTTATCATTTGCAGCCCTTGAGCTCTCTCGGCTACCGTAAATAACACTTTCTGAAGTGAATAATAAAAGGCAAGAACAGAACTGACACTGATAAGAATTATTTTCATATAAGAATAACAGCATGGCATCACCACATAAAATTATAACACATGCAAAAACATACTTTTTTCTGTGCATTTGCCTTCAACACATGTCACTTCTATCTAAAGTAATGGGCACAATATACCTCCCACATATCCACACATAATCATGTACACGAAAGTTTGCTGCCTTTCTTTTTCCATTGGTGTCTACACACTTTATACATTTACTAGCCAGAAAACATAGTGGATCGGAAACACTGCAGAAATGTTTCCATCTGTGTAGATCTTTACTGACAAAATAGAAACACACAACAGTAAGTTATTGAGAGTGAATTAAGATTCACATATGTAAATAATTTTTTATTTACAGTAAGGTAAATATTACTGTAAATATTTGCTACAAATAGGCACCTGTGGCCTGATGTTCCTCAAACCAAGTATGGTATTTACAACATTCTTTTTAATAGGTACAATTTAATACATGAGCACAGATTTGTTTATTCACTCCCAGACATGTGTGATACATCTTGTTCTCTGTGTCTGTCAAAAACATTGTCATTGTTTTGGTTTTTTTTTGCACTTCAGCATGGACCCTTCAAGCAAATGAGCCCATCTTCTCTTGGATACGCTGAATTTGGTTAAAGGCCCTGAAATACTTTAAGCAAAATCGAAGAATGAACTGGTGTGACATGATTTCAAACTAATTGGGAATGCTATAGCTTTCTCCTGGTATATAAACTCCCTGATTGCACCATTCACTCCATCCAGGCTCCAATAACTCTGTGGGAAGCTGTAATTCCATTCGTGTCCTCAAGGAGAATTCCCTGAATACCATGACCCGTCCCTTGAAGCATTACAGCGAAGCAACGTTCTTTCCACATGCTGGTCACATCATGGTTCCCGTCAGATACTCTGTTAGGGGGTAGGAGAGCAAAGTGTGTGTGACGCATTTCCGACACAAAAGATCTGCAGGAGCCACATGCCACAGCGGCCTGGAAGCCCCTCCGAAAGTTCTCATTGAAGAAGCCATAGATTATCGGATTAACACCACTGTTGAAGAAGGCCAACCAATGAGCTACGGGAAAAAGATAGCTGCTCAAGAAGTCAATCTGTTGGCGGTCTAGATCCTGATAGTCCGTGAGGAACATCAAAGTCCAAAGTGGAAGCCAGGAGACCATGAAGAGAATGGCAACCATGATGAGCATCTTGATGACTTTCATTCTCCTCCTGGATCGGACTCGATTCTCACGTAGGTTGTTGGAGAGTTTGGCAGTGATGCAGCCGTACATGATGCATATGAGTCCGAGTGGGGCCAGGTACACCTGGACGAAGATGACCAAGGTATAGACTCGCCGCATGTCTGCTCTGGCCCAGTCCTCAAAACACACGAATAGTGGATACATCTGGTTGTCCTGGACCATGTACATGTCATCCAGATGAATGACTGTCAGGGTTGCAGCAGAAGGAAAGATGATGGCAAAAGCAAGAAGCCAAATGAAGATGATGGCGAAGAATGCAGTGGCAGGCCTCAGGCGGTGATGGAAAGGGTGAACAATTCCCATAAACCTGTCAAGAGACAAGCTTAATATTTAAATACTCAATTCAAAACAGGGTTATTATTGTTAAATAAGAATAAAATCATTAAAAACATTTTGCTAATTTAAAAATAAGCTGAAATAAATATAAATATTAGACAAAAAAATGACATTAAACGAAAATTATAATGCTTGTCTTGGCAGCTAACTGATACCATAGTCTTGGCAACTAACTGAAATATATTTCAATTGAAGCATTTAAATTTCAAGAAATAAATAAATATGAACTAAAACTTGAACCAGCATTGCCTCACAACGAATACATTCCCCTGAGTTCTAATCACCGCCACTGTCATCAATGACCGCACTCATCTCCAGCACTATTTAAGTTTGCCCTGTTCACTCAGTCGCTGTCTGGTCTACGACTAGGACTACTTACGCCTACAGTTGACTTACCTGGATACCTACCTTGTGTACTGTTCTCCTTGTCTCCGAAGCTCCGGTCTCCTTCTCCAGTCCCTGTTGTGTTCGTCACCTACCTGTAAGATAATATTACCACCATTGATTACCATACAGTGACTCAAGTGTGTGCGCTACTTTTATTAATATTATTATTATTAACTTTATTTAACCAGGAAAAAGGAAAACGAAAGTTAGATTAAAATCTCTTTTCCAGGAGTGTCCTGGCCAGTGTACTTACATCCTTAAAGGACATTACTGCTCTCCCTTGCTCTGTTGTCATTGCTATTACTTACCTTTTGCACAGATATCATCAATAAATCATTCACTGTTGTTCCACCGAACTGAGTTTGTGTTCCCTGACACACACACACACACACACACACACACAAAAATCTAAATAAAAACAAATGAAACCTAGTCATATTTAAAAAAAAAAAAAAATGCACATAACTAAATATCTAAAAATTAAAATTAAAATATACAAAAAAAGCTCATTTAAACTATTAATAAAAACTATAATAGCATTTAAATAATACTAAAATAACACTGATTCAAAATGCTGTTTAAATTTGACTGAAGAACGGCTTTACATCAGATCAGCTAAAACAACTAAAGGGTTATTTCTTACTTTAACCAACCCCCTCATAAATTGTAATTTTCTTTCTTTGAAGAACCAGGGTTTCCACAGTCTTGGCCTAATTTTAAATGTGTGATCTCTAGACCTGGAAAACGTATGTACTCTCCCTGTGTGAATTACTTGAAAAGTAATTCACAGCTCTGACTGCTTTGATGTGATCAAATGTTTATATATATGGAAATATTCAATTATTATAATAACCAATCATTACCTGTCCACTGCTATGGCAACCAGGGTGAAGACAGAAGCAGACACTGACATGCCCTGGATCAGGTTGCTCATAGTGCAGGTGATCTGACTAAAAGGCCAACCTGTGGAGAAACCAAGGAAAGAAATCTGAATGTAATGGAGCGGTTTCATCAAATATTTTTCATATTTGATTTTTTTTTTCCTCTTTTGAAAAGTCATAGAAACAATAAAGTGGATTTTATCTGTTGCCATTGGATCAAATGGGAACACAAAAAAATATATTAGTTGTAGTTTCCGTTCACCATTATAGAAGTTTACCCAACTGACGAATTCCGCTTCTGAGAACCCTGGAAATGTGGGTCCAAGAAGATGATATTGATAATTATGGTAATGATTATGAAGATGATGGCCCACTGACCTGAGGTAAGGCTGTCAATCAGTGTGGTGGGCACACAGAAGATGCCCACCAGCAGATCACTAATGGCCAGGTTCAGGATGAAGAGATTAGTGACCGAACGCATGTTGCGGTTCCTGATGACCACCAGGCAGACAAGTCCGTTCCCCACCACACAAAGCAGCAGCACTAGCAGGTAGGAGAGGATGTAGCTGACTGCCATCCCTGCCGAGTGGATGTAATACGGCAGGAGCGTACAGTTGGCCAAACTGAAGTTGACAGCATTGTGATTCAGGGTCATTTTGTTCATTCTGGATCTTGCAAAGAGAAATGACAATCCATTCTGGTAAAATATTCACATTGGTTTAATCAAACATGAAACACAAGCTGCACAGAAATATTGAAAGGAAAGCCAAAAAAATCATTGATAATAAGATATCTGATTGCTGAAAATATCTCAATGACACCAAAAAGGACTTTCTTGTTCTAAAAATAAGCTTGTTGTGTTCAATTATTCATTAGTGAAGTCATTCTAGCAGTAATAAGACTTTGATTTATTTATGAGCTTGCGTAGTGTAAACTTGAGTTGTAAAATAATGAAAAAAGTAGGTTTATATTAATTTAATATTGAAATAATGCAATGCTTTTCAGTGGTTTACAGGATTTAATAACTACATAAGAAAATCGTGAAACAATATCTTTCACTGTTGTGCATGTTGAGAATTATTCGAAGTACAAACACTAAACTTAATCAGCTCATCATCTAAAGAATATGGAATATTTCAATGTATTTTTCTTGTTTTTTATGAGAATACAATAAAAACAAACACCATAGAAGAGTCTTACGACATATATATGTATATAAAAAAATGACATCAATCAAAAAGACGGATCGCTCACCTGTTGCTTCTGACACGTGAAATACTTGTCGTGTTCTGTGCTGCAATGGCTACACCGACTGCAATGCGCAACTGTCACTTTGGGTTCTATGCCTTCTTTGGGTTCTTCTTTGCCTTTGCTCTTCTTCTGCCCAGGTGCAAGCAGAGATCAGCGCCGAAGCTGTTCGTATCACAGCGGGAGCAGTACGCGCTTGTTGTGCTTTTACACTGGCTGCGTTTGTCAAGCGCAGCTGAACCGCGGCTTGTGTCGCTACTGCACATACAGACGAGTAACCTATCATCCAATCGGCCAAGGTGTTTTTTTTTTCTTTTTCTCAGTCGTTCTCATCCGACCACTGTCTGTAACGTGCTTTGATTTATGATGGGCAGCAAACTCTGCTGTGATGCGACCGTGTCCCCCTCCTACTGTCCCACACACATATGCATATTATAACAGTTTGGGCAAAAACTCCTAGTAGCCTAATGGTGTATTATATATTTATGTATTTTCACAGCGCTGAATGTCATATGATTATTGTGAAACACGGAACACCCCACTTTTTTGATATTATGGTGTTATTTTTCGTGTCAACTCAGAGTCAGATCTGTTTTGAACAAGAATAATGCACTGTGGCTTTACTAGAGTCGGCGCCGATGCCACTTCTGCTCCGCTCCTCCAACGCGCTGCAGAGCCGCCTCAACGTGCGTTGTGAATGCACCTGTTAACCAGGGCGCCGGGGGGGGGGAAACCGCGCTGCTTCGCTCTTCTCCGGTGAAACAGTCGTGCTCGCCGTTGTACCATTTTTGAAACGACAGGAGGCGACTCGGAGTGAATGTCCAACCACCAGGAAGCGACGGGGAGTAGTAGCCTACTGTTTGCCGGGAATAGTTTGCCGTCTGTTGTAGAGTTGCCGAGTGAATTCATTTCTTAACACATAAAGTGGTTAGGTTGTGGGTCGATTTGGAGGACACACTTGAAAATGTTTGTTTTTAGTACACTTCACAAACCCCCACTACAAAGGAATCAAAGAATCATGTAAAACCCAAATCTTGAGATTATTGTTTGTGACATTATATAATATGTGGATATAATAGCCTAGCATAAAACTAAACTGAACAAAAATGTCATTAAATATTTTCATTGCATTGACATTTTTATTAAACACGGACCTTTACTTTCATTAAAAAGACTTATTTCTGTTACTGTATGCGCATTTTGTACATGTAAGCAACAAATTAAAATTTTAGGCAAACTTGGGTGCTTAAATGGTCGCATATAAGTGGTCGCATTTTAGACAACCGGTCTGTTCACGTCACATCTTTTTTTTTTTTGTTGCGTGATATAAACTCGCAACTTTTTTTCTCCTCAGAATTACGAGATATAATCTCGCATCTGTGAGTTATAAAGTCAGATTTGCGTGATATAAAGTCGCAATTCTGAGAAAAATAGTAGCCTAAGCGTTTTTTTCCCCTCAGAATTTGACAACCTCCAAATTCGAGTTTATGCAGCCTATGCTATCAGTTTTGAAAAAAAGTAGTGGCTTTCCACCACTGCTGATACCAATACTAATGTCTCTATTAAATTGTTTTTTTTTTCCCACTAATAGTTAACCATTGACTATAGCCATTCAACATTACAGTTTAATTATATAAATTTTAACATTTATTAGACTTTATGTTTATGTTTATGTTTATTTGACAAAAAAGTAGTGAATACACTCTATTCGTCAAGGATAACACAATAACGTTTAAAACAAACCTTATTTCCATTGTGGTCCTTGATGTAAAGCACAAACTTCACTCCCAGTAACTGGTGCACTGGCACTGCATTATAAATACAACAATTATAATAAAATTCCACATTTACAAAAATTTACAGTCACAAATATCCACGTACGTAATACAAATTCATGAACAAAACAACCTACTTAAGAACCAACTTTTAGCTTTTAAACTAAAACTAGCCATATTCGAAATACCTTTAATGTCCAGAGGTAACTTATTCCACAAAAGTGCCCCATAATATCTAAAAGACTTACGACCATACATAGTTTTAAAACGACATAACGTAATATCCATGAGACTTTGCCTAGTTTTATAACAATGTTGCTCATTTACCCTAGGAAAAAATACATTAAAATGTGAAGGAGCTCTGTTATTGATCATCTTATGTACCATTTTTTATTTAATATGTTCTAGTCTGCTTTCTAACCAATCAAGACACTTAAAATGGGAAACCTCCACATGTGTAAAACGACTAAACCCTGAAACTAACCTTATCAATTTATTCTGAGATTTTTGTAACTTATCCAACCAACCACAAGACAAATCAGACATCCAAGAAATACATGCATATTCGAAATGACATGACACTAAACATGATGCAAGTAATTTTATATTCTGTTTATCAAGAAAACTAACTAAAACTAACTAGACTTTAAAAAAATAACAACTTCTAATTTAAGTGAACTTAAAACAATCTTCATGTAAACCCATTAATAAATGTCATTTTAGCTACCTGTGCCCTTCTGCAAGTATAGGAAATATACAGAAATTGAATAAAGTTTTCAAACACTAAATTCTAAATTTAGATGAATGTTTAAAGCTACAAAAATTATTGATTTCCTCTTTCCTCTTTTTCTTTTGTTCTTGGATTAACAGACATCACAGCAGCTGGGTTATTAGGTTATTTTAGCTGCTTTAAGAGCTGCTGCTACTGAACATGACGCGGATCCTATTTTCTCACAACTCTTTACCTTTTCTTACCAACTTCAGGTCATAAAGTCTCTACTAATGAGTTACTTACTCTTTACTTAACTGATGACATATACGACATTGCATGCTCGTAGCTTCTTTCACGCTTTGATATGAAATTATACAGGTTACAGCGTGCACCGCCGCATTTGTGTGTGTATTGAAGTGCTCGGGCTATGAGCAAAATATAATGGCTGACAGGACAGGAAAATTCGTTTTTACTGACATACTGTATGACCTGCACATCTCATCTGACCGCAGTTCACTGTTGTTCTACTGAAACTCCCTTGTCACCTGTATCTTCTCCGCGCTCGTTTGACTAGTGGGCGTCTGAAAGTCTCCCGTATGATGTGGCCATAAAGACGTTTTGCATCTAAATAAACGCAATTCTTGTCTAGAAAAAAGAGATAGAAGCAGCAGTTGTGAATGGGGTGGCCAACCCTAGCTCCACCCCTGCATTAATTGCATTAAATATTTTTAACATGTTAAACTGAAAAAATTAATCGCTTGCGATTACTCACTAATTTTGACAGCACTACAATAAATAAGCAGTTTTTTTCTTAGTCCAGGGACTTAGTCTCTTTAGTTTCGGCCAGGGCCAGTGTTTCCACCTTGTGGAACAACTGATTAATGCAAAACCAAATCAATGCTCATGTGTGACCTATGCTTACAAAGTATGCACGGTTACAAAAATCGGATGGTGTGCGTAAAGTACTATTTTCTTTACATACTATTCTCTAAGTACTATTCTGGTGACAAAATTTGTGTACACGGACCCTCGCATGCGTGTAAAAACTGAAGTATACTTTGGCCTTTAGTCCCCCGGCCCAACATTTTTTCATTGAAATTAATGAAAAATACCTAGGGGGAGTCCAGGGGGTCCAGAGGTGGTTCCAAAGCTGTTCGTAAGTAGAGTGGGAGCAGCATGCGCCCATTGTGCTTTCACACCTGTAGCATTTGTAGCGTGTACTGCAAATACAGGTGAGTATTGTCCATTCTGTCACATTAAGATAACTACCTCTAGTTTTTTTTTTTTTTTTTTTTCCACAGCCCTGAATATCTCTTTAATGCACATGCCAGCAAAGTTTAAATCATTGTGGCTGACTGATAGGGGAGTAGGTCATTATTATTTTTTTTTTTTTACTGCCATTCGAAATTCAACCTCATCTGTTTACAGTAGTGTTTGCAGTACAAAGAAAAAAAAAAAA